AGGCGACTCTCTCAACTTAGTGTTGAAATTTCAAAGAGCTGGCGGGCTACCACTGATACTGGTGATGTTAGTGGGTAGACCGAAGTGGTGGTTGCAATGCATTTAAGTTGCAGGTAGGAAATGGCGATGCTTTGGCAGCATAGTGCATGATTGAGGATGTCAACGATGAAGGTGTCAAACAGTTGCTACTCTCAAGTAAGAAAAAACTATCTCAGAACAGATATTACACACACAAATACAACTACAATCTCAATACGATTTTACTAACCTTAACTTTTTGCTCTTTGGCTGGGGCAGTAGCATAATTCCTTGACAACTGCAAAAAAAAATGACAAACATATATTAAAAAAATAAACATAACATGCCATTTTACCAATTTCAAACATGGACATTTTTTACGGTCCTGTGAAAAGAAAAGCGATTCAGGCAAAAACTTCAAATGGGATGTGCTTAAGCACTGTGCACATCGAAAGATTTCTCTTTTCAAGTTAGTTCGCGTGTAAATAGAACAGAACTACAAACGGTCCAACAGGATATTCAAATAAGAATTCCACACCAAAAAATCGACCCTAAGCTGCAACGATACCATCTATCCCTTCGATTTCAATTTTATTTAAAAAAAACGAAACGGTTTGTTGTGACTGGCATATATATAACCCAATAACAACATTCAGCCATTTCACATAAATAAAAATATATAATTTCAAGAATCTAGAATCAAAATATAGATGAAAGCAAAACCAACAACTACAAACAATCAGCAATATCGAAGACCAAAATTAGGTTTCATATCTGATAACAATGAATACCTCAGGATTGGAGAGAGGGACTTGAATCGGAGCAAAGGGCTTTGCGGAGGAGAGGGAGCTGGATCTGACTTCGCCCTGCCATTGCCAGTGCAAGAGAATCTTTTTCTTCGAACCCGGTTGTTTTTCACCAGAGATTAATGCTTTTGTATCTGTTGTGAAAATGGCGGAGTGAGGGTGTATGGGTACCAGAGTCGATTTTAACATTTTCACAAAACTATAACCTAAAAGGGGCATAGGATTTTGCTAGTACCACTGAGCAATCAGTGACACGTTGTACCCCTTTCCCTTTTCCACGGTGTAATAATCCTTATTTTTATTGGAAATTTTGACACCCTGTAGAAAAGTTAGAGAGTCCCTGTTGGCCAAGCTTCTAAAATGTCAGGGCTGTATGTTGTGAGAAATGCTGTTTGTCGAAAGATACGTGTTTGTGGGCAGAAAGTGCTTGTTCGTTGAGAAGCAATTTTATTTGGCTAATTGAGTTGAAAAGCACTTTTGAGCAGTAATTAGTGTTTGGCCAAGCTTTTGAAAACTGCTTCTAAGTGTATTTTTCTCAAAAGTGCTTCTCAGAAAAGTGTTTTTGGAGAGAAACTACTTTTTTCTGCTTCTCCAAAACTGCTTCTGCTTCTCCTCAAAAGCACTTTTTTTCCTTCCAAAAGCTTGGCCAAACACCTCAATTTTTGGCCAAAAGTGCTTTTGGCCAAAAAAAGCACTTTTGGCAAAAAAAAAAAGCTTGGCCAAACAGGCTATTAGTATCCTATTTATTTTAAATAAATACCATTTTAAAATATTATATTATATAGCTACCTTTTACCCTTTATAGCAAAATATCTAATTATAGTTATATCCTATATTTAAGGCACCATATATGCTAAATAATATTTTTCTCTCTCTCCTTTTTTGAATTTTTTCTCACATAATCACCGTAAATTTGACAAACCACGTTCTCTCTCTCTTTTTGCATACACTTTACTCTCTTCTCCCACAAACACACGATTCAGACTTCTTCTCCCACCCAAATTCCCTAGGTTTCCCCCATTATCACTCCCCAGTTATTTTTTCTCTAAAATCACGGTTTTATTCCTGATACAAGTTCTTGGGATAAGTATTTAGCTTCTTAGATTTTGATACAATTATTTAGTTTCTTCGATTTTGATACAGATATTTGTTTGCTTCTTAAACAATAACCATTGTTATTGTTTACTCATCAGAAAGCTTTCGTTTTTCTCTCCAATGTCGGATTCAACGTTACACAAGATGGTAACCAGAGGTATACCCACCAAAATTCTCAATTATGATGGGCCCTCTTTCCCGTTGCAATTAACTCAAGCAGACTCGGAATTTGCAGGTGTATCAGCAACTACAGCTTCAGAGAGAAGAACTAAATTACACAATGACAAATCGAAAGAAGTCCAAGTTGAGAAATCTTCAAAAGAAACAAAAAGTCCAGTTGCGAAAAAAGAGGAAAAAACCTATGAATGATTCTTCATATGTCAAGGTTAAGGAAGTTGATGCAAAAAAAGCATCGGATACACGGCACAAAAAGGTAATTGTTATTGTATCAATATGCATCCAAAGTTGCTGATGTGCTTTAGGGGTACATTGATGTATTGATAATTATTCATGTGATTTTATATGTATGATGATGTATTCGTATGTATTTAGTTGTATTCATAAGTATTGAAACAATCCAGAACTCATTTGCACATTTACAATGTCATTAACTGAGTTGTGCTTACTTAAATATTATATGTTATATTTAAATGTATTTAGATGTATTCAAATTTACATTCACTGTATTTCCGTACTTATTACAGTTTTCCTTGATGTATGTATATATTCACTGTTTTGTACTAAATGGTATTAATATGTATTTCAATATTTAACTGTATCTTGTTGTATTTATATGTATTCATAACACTTAATGAGTTTATGTATTGATGATGAATATGAAACCTTTTTAAAATTCTTGTTTGTATGCAGGAAATTAAACTGTTTGTGAAACACCCGCCAAGATTATCACCGCATATTTGTTCATATACAAACACAAACACAGTATCCAATCTCAAAGAAAAGCTTACTCTAGAACAGTATAAACTATTAAGATCTGTATCAACAAAATCCTGGTAGCATGTATGTGTTTAATCCTTTTCCTTGTATCATTTTTCTAATAATATGAATTGTTTGTAACTGTTTTGATGTATTCTTTCAGGGATTGTGGGGTGCATGTCGCGGCATACGCAGAGTTTCTTAGCACAGTTGGGCTGGTTCCACAAATAAAATTTGATGCCAATTTACTCCGTCAAAGATATGGTGCACTCCTTTGGGACTATGCTATGCAGAAGATAGACGCTGATGCCGTAAGCGAGAGCGAAGCACCTTCAAAGATTCTTAGGCACATCACCGATTCTGATACGTCGGTGAAGATAATGTTAGAGTAGTCTTAGGTGAATGTAGTTTTGGATGGGAGTTTTTGTGACTGTTTTTCTTGGACAGTGTGTTGGTAAAGATGGTGGTAGTTTAGCAAAAAAAAATTTTAATTTAGTGATTGTATCAACAGTGTTTATATATTATCATTTCAAGCATCCAATCGATGTATTGACTGTTTTTGTGCTTCTGAATTAATCTGTCCTTCAACCTGTTGGGTTTTTGTATGTTTATATCAGTTTGTCTTAGTATGTATGCAACATGTTGTATTGATATGTATTCATCTTATTGTATCAGTCAGTATTCAACATGATATATTTATCTATATACATTAAGCTGTATTTATATGTATTCATCAGGTTATGTTCACATATTTTCAGCAGGTGTATTTAGACCTTCATATTTATATAATATATTGTATTGATATGTATTCAGCTGTATTTTGAATATGTGTTCTGTATATAACTGATTTTATTCATTTGTATTCACTTATATGCATATGTATTCAAGTCTATTTAGACCCTTGTACAATACATATTAAGACATCTATACGTGTATAACAGATTGTATTAATCTGTATTCAAGTGTATTTGAATACATGTATTTAACATTCATAAATCATATTCAATCTCTGATATACGATATGTATTCCAAAAAAATCATCAGTGCTGTTTATGATACAATCATACTCTGTGTATATAACTGAGTGTAATCATATGTATTCAATGATTGTATTCATCTATATTCATATATAATGAAGATACAATGGTTGTATTATAATTACGTATTCAGATTTAATACACCAACTAAGTATATCCAAAATATATTCAAAATGACACCGGAATCTATAACAAATTGTTTTTCATTAATACAAGTCAGATTGTGAACTAATTTCAACGTGGAGCATTTCTACAAGTACGCTTATTATGTCATTCCTGCCCACATATGCTACACGAATGTTGATTTTTCTTCTGCAGCAATTCAATGAAGGGCTTATCACGCTTCTTCTTTGGTCTTCCAGGAGGTCTTTTCCATTTGGGTGGTAATACAACTTCATCTGCTACATGTGCTGGTATATTCCATTCTTTCCGGTCCGGCAAAGGATACACGGGCACCTCATATGTCATTACAACAGACTTTGGTTTGTAATAATCAGAGCAATAATCTTCTGGCATTAGAAACTTGCTCTTCAGGACAGCCCAAGCGTGTGGGCACGGTAATTCGTCGACTTGGAACTGCCCACAACTGCATTTTTTCTCTAAAAGGCATACTGTGTAATGCCTTCCTTCATCGTTCACCGTATGCAAATATTCAGTCGATGGCACCACCTACATTTAAAAAAACAAATCATACATATATATAAGAATAGACGTATTAAATATGATTTTCATATATAGTATTATAATTTTATTTAGTTTTAAGAATCATAATATATTTTGTATTAAAATACAACTATAGTAGATACAACTATATTTGTACATACAGAATTCAAAGACATACATGTATATACATGTAAATACATTGAATATATTAGAATACATACTACATGAATGCTGGCAGAATATTAGAGTAGTCTTGACTGAATATAGGATACAACTTCCATTGCTACCTTGAAATATATACAGTTAAATACCTTGTACCATGGATACATATAGGAAACAGATACATAAATAAAAGGCAACTTACAGTCATTCGTGTAGACATTGCCTCATTCAAGGTAAGCATCTCCTAGTATTTTTTCCCAAACTTTGTGTATGTATGTAGAGTTTATTTCCGATTGCTGCAATTCCAACGTCCGAACATTTTCCTAACTTCTTCGAGGAAGTCGTATATTGGCAATTCCCTTGCTGACACAAGTGCGGCATTGATTGACTCGGCAATATTTGACGTCATTGTCCATTCCCTGTTGACAGGTGCATACAACCTAGCCCATTTTTCGTATCCAGCTAACTCCAAGTATTCCTTCACCCTAATATCTACCTTTTCTACCTTCTCCATTAGACTGTCAAACTCAGCTTGTGTGTACGCTTTTGCCATTGAGAAGTATATCTCGCTCAACTTTGAATGACTCTTTTTGAATTTCTTATATACGTTGTTCCAAAGATGCCATATACAAGCAAAATGTGGTACAGTTGGATACACTCTTGATACAGACTTGATGATACTTTCGTTCCTATCTGAAACGATGCACATGCTTTCCCTCTCACCATATGCTTCCTTGAATTGCTCAAAGAACCACGTCCAAGCAGCATCGTTCTCTGAATCAATAACACCATATGCTAGTGGAAGTATATGACCTGTAAATAAAATTGCATACATACTATAAATATGTATTTCAATATTTACTGTGCAGTAATATTATAATATTTTATTATAACCAACATACTCACCTGCACCATCCAAAGTGCTGGCCGAGACGAAAGTCCCAGTGTAATACGATTTTAAGTGGCTTCCATCCACAACCACAATGGGTCTACATTGATCGAACCCCTTTATAAAGGCATACAAGGATATATACACATACTTGAACTCATTTTGTGGGGATTTTACCATTCTAATGTGCGAACAAGGATATGTCATGTTCATTGTATACAAGTATCATGGTAATTTATTGTATGAATCAGCCGGTTCACCCCTCAAAAAATTCATTGCCTTTTCTTTAGCCCGACATGCCAACATGTAACTAACATCGACACCTAAATCAGTTTTCACATCATCAATGATATCCTTTGGGGTGTATTTCCTCTTATGATTTGTAAGCTTGGGCCTAATCATACCACCTATAAGGCTGCTACTTGCCTGACGTTGCTCATACACCTTATCCTTCAACGGACATGTATGCTTATCATTGAACTCTCTCACTTTGAATAATTGTGATTTGTTAATGCTAGAAGCCTTAAACCTCCATTCACAATCTTCGCACATACATAATAATGCATTGCTGCAAAGAAGTTATAATTAAACATATGATCAGCATAAATACTTACAAAAAATACACTCATATACATTTGAATATATTATTGCATCTATATATACATATAGAGTAGCATACAACACAAATATATACAGTGTTATACATTTAAACATGGCTGAATACACCTAGATGTATAAGCATACATTTTAATACAACTAATACATTTAATAAAAAACAGTTAGAGCCACTATAATCCACAAGAATACATGTATTATTAATACATAAAAAATGAAACAAGAACAGTTGTGAAGGTCAAGTAACCATTCACAAATACAGCTAAATACATATACATACAGTTTGATTTTACATTCAATTCTGTACTAGCGTAATGCTCCACAACAATTCATGTATTATTAATACATAATAAATAAAAATGCATAACAATATATGTCAAGTAAAATTTCATAAATACAACTAAATACACCTGCATACACTTTACAAATCCAACCAGAAATACAATATACAAAAATATTGAATACTTAAGAATACTCAAACCTGATTGCATTAGACATATCAACCCGGAATTGAAACCTTTCTGATATAGCGTAATGCTCCATCACCTCTTTCAATGTAGCTTTATCCTTATATACTTGTCCAACCATAATCTCCCTTTGATTTATTTTTGAAATTATAAAATCCTTGTCCAGTTCGAACACCCCAATTGGTTCGCCTAAATTTACAACATCAAGGGCAAGGGTATCATCTGTATCGAAATTATACCTTTGAACTGCTTCTTCCATTTGGACAATGTCGCCTTGAATTAAACTACCTCCGGCTACAACTTCTTTGTCAATTGTTGTTATGCACAAAGGATACATCCCGAATTCTCTGTTCTCTTTTTTCAACTCTACATACACCCTAAAACCCATATCATTGTGTATTTCCATTGGCGTGCAATTTCCTTCTACTTTGTAATGAATTTTAATGGTCTTTGAGCTCAAATTTATGTCTAGTTGCTTAGAAATTGACGCGACCACATCATTATACGACGCATACTCCTTTACCAGTATTCCCTCAATCGAATAATCGACGTAGTTACTCTCACTGTTCCACTTTCCAGAATGGCGCAATAACACTGTTAACTTGCCACATGCAAAATTGAATTTAAACGTATTTATGTATACAATTTTATCAATCTCAATTTTTCTTGGTTGAAAATTGATTTCTACGAACTGTAAAAAAAAGAACATGAAAAGAAAGAAGGGAGAATTGAAAATCGATAGAGTGCTCTGTTTTTGGATACTTTCGGATGGAAAATCTTTGATGGAGAGGAAAATACCGATTATGGGTGATATAATTGTGTTAGTTGAGTTATATTAGGAGACTATTTGCTAGATTGATTTTCTTTCCGTTTTTAATCAGTTGAAAGGTCCCATTTTTAAGGAATATACGTTACTGTATTCAATGATTCAACTCTTGAATACAGTTGAATACAACATCTTATTAACTGAATTTCCATGATTCACGCCTCTTTTTTCTAATGTATTCAAGAATACAGTAATCTAAATACATCTTAAAACATCTAAAAACGTATCTACAGGCTATAATATAGAAAATGATATCTATAGATAGCTAATTACCACTAAAAGATAGTGCTTTATGAAAATTTCTCAAGGGCAAAATTTCGAACAACTAGACCCCTACTTTTCAATTTTATAACCCATATTTCAATTTATAATCAACTAGCCCAAAAATAATAGGCTAAGGTTCAATAACCAACTCCAATAAATTGTCAAAATTACTATTTAATTTTTTAAAAAGATTGCTCAAGCTTTTAAGTTAATTTTCGAATCAACAATTGTAACTCAAATATTAGTTCAACAAATCAAATCCATTTGAATGGTGAAAACAAGATTTTTTAACAAGCTTAAATATGTGTGTTTAGATTCCGAATTTGATTTTGTGAGAAATTTAGAGTGGGTTTTATTTTTTGAACTCCTTTTGATATTTTCAATCAATTGGAACAACACCCAATCCAAACAACTAACAAACTCAAAAAATTCTATTTTCGAAAGCAAAGCTTTGAATAGCCTTCAATGGTGGACTTCTACTCTTCAATTTTCTTACATTGCAACCAGGTGACACATGGGGAGAAGCAGTAATGGCGGACGACCCCTTTAAGCATATGTAGAAGATGTGAGAATAAACGAGAGTGAAAGCAATGGTTGTAAGAACACAAATTTAACTCCATAGCTTTTAGAAGTAATGATTGTAAGAACACAGATTTTGAATTTGCTAGTGCTTTCAAAATATGTACAACATGGGCTAGGTTGGATTAAACTTAAAAACATGGGCTATTTTTTGTTATGGTGTGGTGTCAAGTGTATTTTCTTGTAATTCTTTCTTCGGAAAAGGGTCTAATTTGTCCCTGTACTATGATAAATTATAAATTATCCCCCATTATACTATTGGGCCATAAAACTCCCCGCCGTCTTACTATCCTAACACATGTATCCTTAATTAGACGGAGGTGGCATGTGGCACGCATCCGTGCCCTTTTTACATCTGGGCACATTAAGCGACCCGCTCCACTAAACCCACATACCCATAACCCGTAACCCAAACAAATCTGGCTTGTGCATAAATCTGGAAAACTAGCTTTGTTCTTCCATCTTTGTTGATTCTTGCTAAAAATTTCCAACCCAACTTCATTAAATCTTCACAAAATTTGTTATAATTTAAGATATAAGCTCCCTAAGAGATCCCCAACAAAATCCAGTAACACCCCCTAGAAAATAGTTCACATTTTTAAAACCCATTTTTGAGCTAAGCTTCAAAGCTTTCTTCAATGGAGTTCTAATGGACTTTTAGCTCTTGCTTCACGTTCCAGCTTTCCAACAATATGTTCTAAATAATAATTTCAAGAAGAAACGCAGCTCAACTCTTTCATAATTCATACCCGACGCTCTTGTTTTGTAATCTCAGTTTTCAAACTCTTTACAGGTCCGGCTATGGAGGTCACGAATTATTCAAACTGTACGCTCTACATTTTGGATCTGATTATAAAGCTTCTTTTCTTATTTACATTTTCCGGCATTCCCAACTAATTAAAATTACAGAATCCCACAAATAACAGAATCATAGTAACTAACTCAAACCCAAAAAAAATATCTAAAAAAGTTACACTTGAATTAACCATTTATCCTTTTGAAGCAATCTGACGAGCTTTCCCACTTCAAACAAACCTGGCAGCGGAAATGAAGCTTCATTTATTTGGGTTACAGGTTATGGGTACGGGGGGTTCGTGGAGCGGGTCGCTTAATATATGCCAGATGTAAAAAGGGCACAGTTGGGTGTCACGTGTCACCTCCGTCTAATTAAGGATACATTTGTTAGGATAGTAAGATGGCAGGGAGTTTTATGGCCCAATAGTATAAGGAGGTATTGAGAGTTGAGATAGTAAAATGAGGGTATTTTAGTCATTACTCATACACACAAGCGAGAGGCATGTGTAAGTCGGTTATTTTGGTTAAATATTGTTCCATTCTCTTGTAACAGAGATTAACAAAATGAAATGAATTCCTTCTTCTTCCTTCTTCACCTTCTTCTTCTCTGAATTCTCTAGAACCTAGGGTTTAACCTTCCATGCAACTCCAATTCTATCATGGTATCAGAGCAGGTGTTGCAATCGAATTGAAATTCTGCAAGATCTGAACATCGAACACTAATTAGAAGCTTCGATTTCATCAGCCATGGGGGAAACAGAAAATACAGGACATATCCCAATTGATCACAATAATCCTCTGTTTTTAGCAGCTACAGATACACCTGGAGTAGCTTTGCACGATATTAAGCTCACCGAACCTGAAAATTATGGTTTGTGGAGTAGATCGATGCGGATGGCACTTTTGGTGAAGAACAAGCTAGGTCTCATAGAAGGAACTTGCTTGAAAAGCTCTTACAAAGGAGAATTGGCAAATCAATGGGAGAGATGTAATGCCGTTGTTCTTTCATGGATAGGACGTATTGTATTTGCAAAATTGCAGCCGAGCATCATTTATGATTCAAATGCAAAAACAGTATGGAAGGAATTCAAGGAGAGGTTTGATAAATCTAATCTCACTCGTTTTTACCTTCTTTGGATACAAATTGGATCATTAAAACAAGGAACTGATTCTGTAACATCATATTGTACGAAAATGAAAGACCTCTAGGATGAGATTGACCTATTAGTTCCAGGACCTGGTTGTGACTGTGAAGAAACTAGACCTTCCATTGACCAATTTAAGAATCTGCGTTTATTACAGTTCCTAGTTTGGCTTAATGAAAGTTATAGTCAGGTGAGAATTTAGATATTGCTTAAGACACCAGTATTGACTGTAAATCAAGCCTATGCTTTGGTCATTCAAGAAGAAAGCCAGCGTGAAATAAGTGTGTTTGAGATAAATAGGGAACCTTTAACTATGATGGCAGAACAAAATCAAGGATATAAGGGTAAGAAGATTGGGATTGTTTGTGAACACTATGGGTATAAAGGGCACCTCAAGGAAAACTGTTACAAAATTATAGGATATCCTCCTGACTTCAAGAGCAAGAAGAAACAACAAGGACAAGGAAATAGAACTTATGCTAACATGGTGACAGAAGAAACTAAAAGCTCATTTCAAGGCCAACAGATGGGACAACTGTTCACTGAAGGTCAATACAAACAGATACTGGAGCTTCTAAACAAAATACCTGCAGGTGATTGTCATACACTAATGACAGGTATAACCACATTGTTGTCTGATGCATCTTTACGTGAATGGGTAGTAGACATAGGAGCATCTCACCATATCACATGTCATAAAGAAATTTTATCTAACATAGAGAACATTGAGCAACACAAGAATCATAGAGTGCAGGTTCCAACAGGTAGCAAATGTTCAGTAACACACAAAGGAAATACTTCAATTCTACAGGGATATGAACTAAAAGATGTGTTGTATGTTCCAGATTTTAAGTTCAATCTATTGTCAGTTTCCAATTTGACCAAGGAGCTGCTGTGTTGTGCTCTATTCTTCCCTGATTTTTGTGTATTGCAGGGCCTTTACAATGGGAAGGTGATAGGGATTGGTAGAGAGAATTGTGGACTTTATATTCTGAAATGGAGAGACAAGCCAGTAGCAGCATTGGTCACAAAAGACACTGATGAGTGCAATCTTTGGCATATGAGATGGGGACATCCATCAATAATGGCAATGAAGCATATTCCTGCCTTGAAGAATAAAGTAGTGGATAGTTTACGGCATAATTGTGAAGTATGTCCTTTAGCTAAGCAAAGTAGATTGAAATTTCCTCTCAGCAGCAGTAAGACTGAGTGTATTTTTCAGCTTATTCATCTTGATGTTTGGGGTCCTCACAAGCTGCC